GTCCCTGAGCCCTGGGCCCTGCAGCAGGGGCCTCCTCCCTCCAGCACCCCTCCCCTCGTTCTCATGGCCCCTAGCCTCGGCCCCTGAGCACCGGGTGCTCAGCACCTGTGTGCCACCTGCCACACCGGGGGTGTGGTCACAGAGCCTGGAGGACACCTGGTCCCCGGGACACCCACTCACCCCTGCGGGAGCCCCCCACACCTGCCTGAAGACCCTGCCCCCCGCCAGGTGTGGAGGAGACGAGGCCCCAGCCCCCAACCCTGCCCTGCCCTCAGACACCGTCACCCCCAGGCAGGCCGCCCCCAAGTCTGGGCTGGAGCTGCAGGAGTGCAGAGCCGTGTCAAGGGGACGGAGGGCACTCAGGGGGCGTGCGGCCACTTCCCGGGGGGGAGGGGAGGGCAGGGAAGGCAGAAGGCAGGGTGCCGAGCTCAGGGGTGCCCTGCACCGGGAAGCAGTGTTGGGAAGGCCTGGGGGTACAGACTCTGGGCACAGTGGGGAGGCGGCCAGCTGTTCAGCGCACCCTGGGCCCTGGAAGCCCTACCACAGGGGTCCTCCAGAGGTGCTACGCACCCCTTGCCCTTCCCCGCCGGCCCACGTCTGGACTTGCCTCCCGGGAGGCGTGAGGCACAAAGCAGGCGTGCGGAGCAGCTGCCTGCCTCAGTGGGGTCCCTCAGCAATGTCCATCTGTCCGTCCAGCAGCGATGAAGTGAAAGGAGAGGAGAGTGGGACCCCACTCCTGCCAGCCTGGCCCACACACCCACGGGGGTCTCTTCCCTGAGCCTCTCTGCCCCGTGGTTCCCAGCCTAGGCAGCTGACGGTTGCCATGGAAACCCGGCGTCCTCCTCAGCGCCCTCTCCTGGCCCTCCGGCTCTGCCAGCAGCCTCCTCTCCCGGGCCTGTGTGGCCTCAGCCCAGGCTTACAAAGGGCGGGGTGGTAGGGGCCATTCTCATGGGTTGATCCTTCACAGTTGCCCTGGGACAAGGACAGTGGGTCCTTTCCCTAATTTCCGAGTCATCTGGTCAGTCCCTTGGGGAGAGGGAAGGACCCTGGGGACGCTGAACCCTGAGGCCGTGCATGGTTTTCAGGTTGCCCTGGGTGTGGGGCCTCTGTGTCTGTGGTCCTAATTAATCCAGGGCCGATGGCTGAGGTGTACAGGGACGGCAGCCTTAATGGAGCAAAGCGCGTGAGGCCCTAGGGAGCCCCCAGTCGGGAGAGCACCTGACCACCTGCCCCTCCCTGTAGCTGGCATTGCCTTCCCTCCTTCAGACCGTGAATCTCCCAGGGCGGGAGCATGGACTTTTCCCAACAGAGCTGTGTCTGGCCCCGGGCAGCTGAGAGGGAAAGCAGCAGGAAGGAAGGGGGGGGCGGTGCCGGGGCCTCCCTCCCCAGATACGGGGCCCCAGGCCCCAGGGTCCCTGCAAAGCTGGTCAAAGCTCAGAATTAGGGCAAGGAGCCACTGTGAACCATCAAAAAGCCCCTTTGTGACCCGGTGGCCCGATTGGGCCCAGCTTGTGGTGGGCAGTCCCTGCCATGTCATGTCTGGAGCCTGGCCGGGCGTCTGTCTCAGGGCCCAGTAGGCATGTGTCTTAGTCAGCTCAAGGCGGGTAATAAAACACCACCGACTGGACAGCTTAAACGACAGACATTTATTTCTCACAGGCCTGGAGGCTGGACATCCAGGATCAAGGCACCAGCAGATTTGGTTCCTGGTGAGGAATTTGGGGCTTGCAGATGGCCACCTTCTCGCTGCGTCCTCACGTAACCTTTCCTCTGTGCGTGCACGTGGGGGCCAGGAGACAGAGCGTAAGCTCTCTTGTGTTTCCTCTTATCAGGACACCAATCCTATCGGATCAGCCCCCCTTCCCCATGGCCTTTAACGGTAATTACTTCCTTATTCCAAATACAGCCACACGGGGCCTTAGGGCTCAACACATGGATCTGGGAAGGACACAAACATTCAGGCCACAACAGGGTGAAACTTTCCCTCTGATGGTGTGGCCTCCACGCAGAGCCTGGGGCCTGGGCCATGACTCTCCCTCCCTCTGGGCTTGCCCCCAACCCCACAAGCCTTGCCCATCAGAGATGCGGGCAATGCCAGCCTGCCTGCTGGGGGCCCTCTCCCACTCCGGGTCGCCCTCCACGCTGGCGGCCTTCTGCGTCACCGGGGAAATGGCCAGAGCACATTCCTAGGCGTGGGCTGTGCTGCCTCCGGAACCCGAGAAGCTTGTGGGGCATGGTGCTTCCCTGTTACCGGCGGGAGGTGCAAGATGCAACCACCTGGCCTTTGCTTGGAGGGCACGCCCGGGGAGGCCCCCCTCCCCTGGACCTCTAGAATGTTCACGGTGCGGCAGGCCTTGCAGTCCCTCCGAGTCCTGGCTGTTCTATCTGCTGCCGCTGGAGGCCGCCCTCTGGAGAACGTGTGTCACCCCGCGTCTTGTCCGGCCGGCACAGCAGCATCGCGCCCCTGATGAGCTGGGTCCCTGTGATGCCTGTGGCTCAGGGCAGGGAGTCAGACACAGCCCCAGACAGACCTGCGGTAGGTGCCATGTGCATCCCACGTAGAGAAGGCGTTCTGTCTCTGAAGGGGATGGAGGCTGCACCACACCGCAGGGCCTCGTATCCCTGGGGCCACGTCACCGTGCCCTGGAGGCTGTGGTCGGGCTCCACGACCTACTCGCTTTCAGCAGGGACTGGGCTGGAGAATGAAATGGAGGTACGCTGGGGACCAGCCCCCCGCATCCTTCAGCTCCTCCAGGAGGGCACCCGTCTCCCCCGCCCCCTACCCTGGAGGTGATGCTGTTTTTGCTTTACTCTCTGGGCCACGGAGGGGAGACGTTTCATATCCTTAACCTTCCCACCATGGTCACAACAATGGCTCTTACCCCACAGACCACGGATCCGACGTGGGGTTTGTGAATGCTACATCCGCAGACTGCGGAGGGTACCAGCAAGGGGTCTGTGACCCAGCGGACCCACTCTAAGCTGGACCGTGGACAGAACTCTGTTAACTGCCTCTCTGACGGGGTTCTCTGGGCATCCGTGTCAACCCTGGCCCTGTGTCCTGATGTCTGTACCATGTCTGCCATTCCCTTTCCCAGTGCAGCTACCCCAGGTGCCTCTGGGGAAGGCCTCTTACATTTGTCAGAGTAAATTAAGGACAGATGACTAAGAGGCGGAGGGTGGCTGCCCCGATAGAAATGCCACAGTCCCTGGCGTGGGTTTTGGCCGCGCCAGTTTTCAGACCTGGAACCCGTGGACTGAAGAGGTGGCCCGGCGGCCAGGAGAGTTGTCTCGATGTTTGCATTGACGCATTTCCTTTTAACAAAGAAAAAAATGAACGTGTTTTCAGTCGTGGTGCTTTTTGGATCTGAAGTCTGCATCTCAGAATTCAGCGGGAGGTGTTCTGCACAGGCTGGTGTGGCCGCTCAGGGCAGCGACCAGACAGCGGGACCCCCCAGGGGGGTGCCAAGCTCCTGCGGGCTGAGTCTGGACAGCGGATGCACTGCTGCCGCCCCCTGGAAGTGTTGGGGTCTTTGTTGGTCGACGTGGGGTGGGGAGGATGTTCCAGAAACTAAGGGAGGAACTCGGCTCTTCTTAGGCTCCAGCCACCGTGTCCAGCCCTCAGGCCAGGGGGATTCTCCCCATCTCTCCGACATCGATGGGACAAAGCCAAGCCGTGCACACACCTGAGCCCATCCATCTTCGGGTGCCAGATACCTCCTGGCTCGTGGCGGCCGAGGCAGGCCCAGGCAGGGGTGCAGAGCTCCAGCACCACACCTACCGACGGCAGGGGTCGGCGCCCTACGGACCCTCTGGCCCAGGGTCCCAGCCACTATCAGTGTGGTGTTTCTTGGAGAGTCCAGCTCCAGTCCAAGGTGACCTTTCTCCCAGGACAGCATCCAGCAATTCCCCAGGGCCTGAGGGCCTGCTGCCCCCCATACCACCTCCAGGGGGCAGACACACCCCTGAGTATTTAAGAGGCCAGCCTGCTCTGAGTCTCCGTCCCTAAATCCAAACTTCCTGAACACCAAGAGGAGTTTCTTCGCAAAAGACTTTTTCTAGAGTTTTTTGGGAGAGGGGCATAACTGTGGGGGTGGGGTGGTGGCAGGAACAGCAAAGGCCTGTGGAACAGTCCCCTGGCACCCCCGCAGGGGGCTGGCTCCCCCTCCACGACGGGAACGGGGCGCCACCTGCCGGTGTGGCCCCATAGCCAGCTAAGTGGGCAGCTGGGAAGACTGGATGTTTACCGGGCAGCCCCCAGGACCCCTGAGCACCCACCCTGCCCCCCTCCCCCGCAGGCCTGTGGTTGGAGCTGCATGGGGGGACAGGGGGCGGGGGGGACAGCACGCCCTTCCCCACACTCACCAGCACCCTAGGTTGGAAAGCCAGTGTAAGGGCCACGGGAAAGCTCCACCTTCCATCGCTCGGCCGAGACTGCCACGCCGACCCCGAGGACGCGAGGGGCTTTCTGGTTTGTGAGTTCCGTGTAACTACACTGCACGGCGCTCTGTGCCTGCACACACGTCACCCCCCAACACACACACACACACACACACACCGCCCACCCGGTATCCACGCCTGGAGGGCTGCTCTGGAGGCGTGAGCTGTCACAGTGACCCACGCCTCACGTCCTGGGTCAGAAGGGATGGCACTTGTCCACCTCCAGGCCCCCTGCTTCCAGCCCCCCAGAGCCCCGGTGCGGGGTGCAGGTTCTGGGGAGGAGGGCGAGAGCGGGGCTCTGGGCAGCTCCTCGTGCGGTAGGGAGGGTGCCCCATGTGTGTACCTCTGCCCGGGTGGGGCGACGGTGCAGGTGAGGCCCCTGGCGCCTGGCACGGGTCCTGCAGGCTCCCAGCAGCCTGGAGGAGGAGCCCGCACTGTCAGAGGGACGCCCGGGGTTTCTTTGGCAACGTCGGGGCGGGCCTCTCCCCGCCTGACCTCCCCGGACCTGGAGGCCTGGGCGCCCGGGTCCCTGCGCTCTGCTTGCCACTGGCCTTTGAGCCATGGCTGCTGCCCTGCACCCTCCCATGGACGGGGAGGCCTGGAGCCTTCCAGCAGGTGAGTCCTCTGGGGCCTCTGCCTGAGCCCTGCCTGGCCTCCCCAGGCACTTCCTGCCGTGGGCTTGGGAGCGCAGACCAGTCACCCCTCCTCCGCCCTGCCCCCCTTGGGAGGGGTCTTCCTGTTTGAGGGCTCCCTCTGAGGACTTGGGACCTCCTGGGGGCAAAGCCATGCTGGGTGTGTCATGTCCCCAGGCTCCTTTCCCAGGGCTGCCAGGTGCTCCTAATTTGGGGGGCCAGGGCCAAGGGCAGGTCTCTGCTCTGCGTTGTGTGACAGTGGGCAAGGTGACAGGGCCAGGTTACCTGGGGGACATACTGCGCCCGTGTGTGTGTGTTATGTTGTTTGTGTGTTCTGGGTGTGTGGTGTATCTATGTGTGTGTGTGCAAGACAGGTATCAAAGGGGAAGCGTGTGCCTCTGAGCAGCAGGGCGCAAGTGCCCAGGTGCCCTTGCCATCTGTACATCACTTCCTCGACGTGCCTGGAGCCTGGGTCAGCCTTGGGACGGCTTCCTCTGGCCTCTCAGCCCCTGTGCCCCTCGGGCCCCGGCTGACTTGTGTCTTCTGGGCGAGGTCTGCTCCGCTGGAGACTCTCGGTGCGGCTGGGGCTGGCGTGGGTGTGTCCCCTGCGGGGCTGCTGCTTCCCCAGGGCTGCGTCTGGCAGGTGGCTGTCAGGTGCCATGCCAATGTCCAGGCCTGTGCCAGCTGTTGTCGCTGCCGCCTCCTGTGTGCTTTCTGACCCTGGGGCCCCGGAGGCTGTGGACAGGGTGGTCCAACTGTCCCCAGCGTGCTCAAGCCTGTCAGGGCTGGCTGTCCTAGGAACACAGTAGGGAGAGTAAACAGTGTGGCTGATTACAGTAGAGCGAGGGCTGCGTCCAGAGGCGGGAGTCCCTCCCCACCTGCTGCCCCACCTGACCCACCAGCCAGCCCGGCCACTTCTCACGGTGCAGCCGGCTGCGGGTGCGGTGGATGGCATGCCAGGCCCCAGGCCAGGGGGAGCCCCTGGTGGCAGCGAGGGACAGAAACGGCTGCCCTGGTGGGTCACCACTCTCTGGCCTCACGGCGCAGGTGTGTCATGGGGGCCTGGGCTGGGCAGGGTGGGAACAGAGGTGCCCGGCTCTCCTTTCTCAGTCTGTGCCCAACGCAGGGGGCACTGAGTACCAGGTGTCTCCTGACCCTCTCGAGAACCCCGACAAGTGGGGGCTACTGTTGCGCCCACTTTCCTGATGAGCAAACTGACCTGCCCGAGGTCACCGGCAGGCACCTGGCATGTCTGGAGTCAGGGCTCTACCTCTGCGTCCACCACGTGCCGGGCAGGGGGGCACAGGCCGCTCTGTTTGCTCTTCATACAGCCCCTCCCAGCTGAGAAGCCCGTCCCTTGTGACCCCTCTCAGACCTGGCCAGGCTTGGCGTGGCCCCGGGGACCCACGGGTGCTGTCTCTCTAGGCCCTGAAGACCCCCGAACCCCCGCTTCTGACCCTGCCGGGCCCAGGATACTAGACTGGGGCTGAACCCGAGGAGGGGAGCTGGACTCCTCCCACAGGACCGTGGGCGGGACAGCTGAGATGGGATCCCCACGCCACGCCCCACCCCGACCGTGCTGGGGGCTCCCGAAGCCAAAGGCATCTATCTGCACACAGGCCACCCCACCCCCCCAGCAGTCCCCACCCCGTGGGGGAAAGAGGGACGGGGCCCCACTCACGGGAGGTGAGGGGACTTTCCCAGAGTGGCATCAGGCCGGCACAAGCCGGTGGGGGGGTGGTCAGGACAGGTAGCTGCGCGTGCCACACCCGCCGGAGGGGCCTCGGCCTCAGGGGCCTGCAGCTCTGGGCTCAGCTGCAGCGCTGCCAGGTGGGCGAGTCTGCATGGGGGCTGCACACTGCCGCTCGCGGCCACCCAACTGCAGCCCAGAGCCAAGCCCGGTGGCCGCCGCAGCCGGGCAGGGCGACAGGAGCTGGGGCCCTGGGCAGGGAGGCCGTCGGGTTTGTTTTCAAGTTCACCACGCACTTGTTTTCATTATTTTGCTTTCATCGCCAGTAGAGGGTTTAAACTGACGGCGCGTCATGTCTATGACGCGGCTTCTTCCTGGAGGAGGAGGTCTCCTTGACCCCCGGGGGCAGCTTAGTCCCTGCTAAAGGGAACAGAGGGCCACCAGTTCCTCCCGTCAGGAGAAACTTCCTGCGTCTAAGCTGCTGCTTCTGCTCGCTCGGAACGAGGGCTGGAGAGTCCAGCGGACCCTGGGAGGACACCCCCCCAGAACCCCAACTGCTGGGGGAGCCTGAGGGTGTGGCGGGGAGGAAGGCCTGCAGTAAACGGGCCAGGCCTCTGCCTGCGAGCACGACCCTGCGGCCCCAGCGCAGGCGGGGTCTCTTCCCAGCGCGGTGGGCGTGGGCTTTCACTCTCGCCACGGGGCACAGGGATTCTGCCCAGGGGTCGGGGCGCTTTGTGAACGCAGGAGGCGGAGCTGTCTTTGAGCGGCCCCTCCCCTATCCAGGCTCTGGGGGCCGTGTGGGGGACGCCCTGGTCATCGCTGATGATACCGCCCCACCCCCGAGGGGAGCGGAAGCCTTCCGCAGGCCCGCGTGCGTGCGTGGTGCGTGCGTGGTGCGTGGTGCGCGCGTGGTGCGTGCGTGGTGCGTGGTGCGTGCGTGCGTGGCGTGCGGGCGTGCGTGGTGTGCGTGCATGCGGCACAGCGAAGGAGCCCACGCCGCTGCCTGCAGCTCTCCCGGCGGGGGCCGCCTTCCTGTGTGGCCCCAGGTCAGCGCCCTGGGATACCAGCCGCTTGCAAACGTCCTAAAGAAACATACAGATGGGACCTGCTCCCTTTCAGCCTCGCCGAGCAAGGTGCCCAGTGGAGCGGGCGAGCCCAGGCAGGCCGGGGCTCCAGGCCAGGAGGACGGAGCAGAGCCGGATGGTTGGTCGCAGTGCTGCCGGCAGGGGGACCTGGCCGCAGAGGTACGTTGTCTGTCTGGGCCACCAGGTGTGGTTGAGGGCCCTGGAGCCGGAGGCTGGATCTGGGGTCCTGCTGGCTCTGTGCCTGCCTCACCCCGGCCCCAACTACAGAGGAGTCTCCGCGGGGGTGGAGGGGGCACCTCACGTTCCCGGCAGGGTCCGTCCGGGGCGACTCCCCCTCTTGCTGGCCGCTACACGTGGGGCTGTGTCTCAGTGACCAGAGCCCCGCCCTGCGCGCTGCCCAGACGGCAGCGTCTCCGGGTGTCCCCGGTTCCCCAGGACGGGTCCTCTAGAAGGAGCCTCAAGGACGGCTCTCCATTCTCCATGCCCGCCTGCAATTAGGGGGTCCTTTGCTGCAGACGCGCCTTTCTCTGGGGCCTGCTCTGGAAGGAGTGCCTTTAGGGCAATTCCTAAAATGGAGGAGTGTCCCTAACCATGTCAGCCCCTCCCTGAGGGCCACTCCGCAGGGCCCTCCTGTGGTAGTGAACTCACCAGTCTCCCAATACCCAGAGGCAGGGTGGGGCGAGGCGTCTGGTCTCCTCCAGCTCTCCTCCTCGGGCACCACGCTGAGCCCAGGGCCGGCAGATGGCAGAGGCCGCGTCCCCCTCACCGCACTGCCCTGCCAGGGCGGTCGAGCAGGTGGTAGGAAGCCCGCTGGAGTTGGACCGGTTGGGATGCTCTCCTGGTGCTCAGGCCTCTCCAGCCTCTATTTCTGTGGTCGAAGGGGTGCCCTGAGCTCGTGCCAGGGAGAGCGGGAAGCCGGCGCCCGCTTCCCCCGACCAGTCCCCACGAGCCGAAGCGTCGGGGCCAGAGCGCTCAGCCCCTCGTCCACCTGCTGGGGACGTGGCCCGGGCTGGCTCCTCTCTCCTGCACCCCGACTCCCAGGCTGACCCCACCCGGAACTGAACCTTGAGCCGGCCACCAGCCTGGGGCTGAGCCCATCCCAGCCCCCAGCCCCTCACGTCGTCCCTATTCCAGCCCAGGCCGAGCCTGACCCCCGGCGCCCTGGGAGGACTGGGGTGGGGTGCTGCCTGGAGCCCCAGCAGGAGCTGAAGGCCTTGGCTGTCTGTCACTGAGTGACACGGGGTTATTATGCTGTCACAGGGCCGTGCGGAATTCTCACCCCTTGCTGAGAGGCAGCGCGTTGGGAAGGCCCCAGGCTTTTGCTAGCCCAGGGCCCTGCAGCCCACTGTGCCCCCCCAGTTTCCATAACCGTCCTTAGGGCTTCCATCATGGGCCAGGGGACCAGCACAGACCGGCATCCGGAGCTGGGCAGGAGCCAGCTTGCCTTGAGTGAGGATGGGTGCCGGGCTGCAGACCACGGGGCTGCCCTGGGAAAGCACCCTCTGACCCCAGGGCAGCTGGTGATGGGGGTTCACTGGCTCCACCCTTGATTCCGCCGTGCTGCCGTGTCATTCTTGGTCATGGGGATGCCGCCCACCTGCCCGGGGGAAATGATCCAGCCCCGCCCCAAAGATAGATAGAGGCAGTGCTCTCTCTCCCTTGGGGCCCCAGGGAGACCAGCCGTTGGGAAGGCCAGTGCCAAGTCCAGGTAGTGTTTGTGCCGACTTGGGTGCATGTGGAGCACACAGGGGCCGAGGCACTGCTGGGGAGCTGCCTTCTTCCTGGAGCACAGCCAAGTTGGTGTGAGGAGTGAGGACTTGGGCCGGACGGTCTCTGCCGCGTGCCTTCCCCAGAGCCTGTACGTGAGGCTGGCGTAGTGCCCACCTCAGAAGGGTGTGGTCGGGACCCGAGAGAGAACACTGCAGCACTGCCACCAACGAGGGGGGGACTTTTTATTGGCACCTCCCACCTTTCTCAGTCTGAGGCAGGAAAATGGGGAGTAGGAGGGCGCTGGAGACAGTGGGCGTGCACGTGACGTGTTTTGCTCAGCACCACCACGTCTCCGCACCTGACAGGCTGTGTCTGCCTCTCTCTCCCAAGGGAAGACAGGCTCCCTCTGCCTGCAGCTGAGGGTGAAGTCATGGCTGCTGTGAGCTGGCCTGAGCCCTCCCAGCAGGCAGGCGCCCAGCGCGGATCTCCCCACGTGGCCTGGTCTGACTTCCCTGAGGAGCCCAGCCCCCGGCAGAAGGCCCGCAGCCTCCTGGTGTGGTTGACAGACGAGGAGGCCAAGGATGGGGACAGCTCGGTGTCGTCGGGCCGCCTTTCCGGCTCCTCGGGGGGCCATGAGTCATGCACGCCTCCCCACGGGACCTGGAAGGAGAGGACCCTCCGGGTACTGGGGCCCCTGCAGCAGCCCAGGGAGAGCACTCCCCGGCTGGAGCAGCTGAGGGAGAAGATCCGGGCCCAGGCACGGTGGCAGGCGAGCTGCACCTCCCTGGGCACCTCGGCACCCGCCAGCGCCTCAGATCTCTACAAAGCCCGCACGCCAGCCCCCCGGAGGAAGGCCCGAAAGCCGACACACCCCGCTCCGGCCCTGGCCTACCCAGGTCAGCGGCAGCTTCCCCTGGCGAGGGACAGGCAGGGGGCGGGGGGAGAGGGCTGAGGTTGGGCTGCTGCAGGCCGGGCGGGGCTGGGTACATGGGTGGCCCCGCCTAGGCTGGTGGCCAACTGGGGAGGCCGGTACAGCATGCCCCGTGGCCCTGAGACGGTCTCGGAGCCTGGGAAGCCAAGAGGAGGTAGAGTCCTCCCGGGGATGGGGGTGCATCTGAGCTGGGTTTAAGCAGAAGGAAGCATCGACTCATCCAGGAGATGGAGATGGAGATGGGTGGGTGGAAACCAGAGGGATCGTGGGTGGGAGGGCGGGTACAGGGGGGCCAGAGGGCATGCGGGAGGCATGGAAGGGACTGGTCCCCGGGGGGACTGTGCCCTCAGGCTTGGGCATCAAGGCCATGTTTAAAGGTTTTTGAGCGGCTGCCCAACGGGGACCTTTCCCTGGACATTTCTTCACGGCCTCTCTGTCCTCACAATTCTCCTTCTTGTCTCCTTCAGGCTCAGGCATCCTGAGTGGGGCTGAAAGTGGAGTCGAAGACAAGGCAACACCTGGCCAGGGGCGTGAGGCCTCCAGGGTCTCCCAGCGGCAGGCCTCAGGTGAGTGGCTCTGCGGCCAGCCATCCTGGCATCCCCCCACCACTGCCCCCACTGGACACTCAGGCCCAGGTGTGGGTGGCACGGTTCTGGAGCCAGCACTCTCCAGACAGCTTCTCTCTCACTCTGTGCGATTGTCTCTATTAGCTTCCCACTCACAGAGGAGGACACTGAGGGTCAGAGGGGACCCCAGCCATGAAGGGGCCAAGCAGGGATTTGAAGCCAGCCCACCATTCTCTGGAGCCCGATTTCTAACCATCAGGGAAGGAATCCAAGCAGGCCCTGAAGGGCAGGCTGGGGTCAAAGGGCAGGGGGGCTGGGCAGGGGCATCTCCTCGCTGAGCTCTCCTGCACAGAATAGGTGAGGTCTTCCCTGCATGGTCACATGCCGGGCCTGAGGTCCGCCAGGCCCCATCAGCTCCTGGGCTCGTTGTTGCATCTTGCAGGCAAGAGGCGCTGCCTGCCTGTCCCGCAGATGGCCTTGCCCTGCCTGGGAGATGCTGACGGGTCGGCAGTGGGTTGGCAGACGTCCAGATGGGGTAGGAAGGGTCCCGAGGCCCAGGGAACCTCTAGTCTTTGGCTGACTCGTTCACTCGACAGACAGGAGGGATGAGGATGGAGAGGCGGGCCGGAGCTGCTCCTGGGGGAGCATTAAGGAGCCTCGGCGTCCCCGGCAGCGGGGCGCTTGGAGGGCTTTTAGGCAGGGGGGCCGTGGAGGGTTTGGGCGTTGGCGGGCTCGCTGTGTGTGCAGGGTGGGCCCTGGGGGGAGGAGCGGTCTCTACCGTCCAGCAGGATTCTGGAGACCCCGGGAAGCGGGGGAGAGGGCTCCGGAGCAGGGGTCAGGCTGTCCTGGAGGCCTGAGACTTTCAGGGTCTCCAGCCAGGGTTTTCCATGGGGCTGTTGGGGGAGAATGCGGGAGACAGTTGCCTATTCCAGTGGCGCCGTGGTGACCAGGGTGGAACAAAGGCTGGTTGACACTCGAGTCGGGACCCTCTGGGTGGCAGCTACAGACTCGTTTCCGGTCTGTCCCAGCCAGACGTGCAAGCCAAGCACAGCCCTAGGTGGGGTGCGAGGGGCCGGCCCGAGTACAGCCAAGGGGCAGAACCCTCTCCCTGAGCCCAGCTCTGGCCTAACTGGGCACCGGCAGCTCCCCCAGGAGCGGGGCGCCCGCCCATCCCCATTCCAGCTGTGACTCACGCGGAACGCCCGTCTCTCTCCTCGGGGACAGAGGGCCCCGATGACCTCAGCTCGTCCCGCAGGTCATTCTCCCCGTCCCCACATGCAGGGCCCCATCAGCCAAACTCAGGACCTGGCCATTGGTCATTCAGGGGCTCAGTGCCCAGTGTCATCAGTCACCAGCTCCCCCCCGGAACCCTCTGGAAGCAGGGTATGGGGCAGGGCCTGGCTCTTTTTTTTTTATTATTGTGGTAAAATACACATAACGTAAAGTTTACCGTTTTAACCGTGTTTAAGTACAAAGTTTCTTTGTTCCTGCGGGTTTGACTCCTCTAGGGACTTCACGTGAGCAAAATCCTATAGGGTTTGTCCTTTCGTGTGGGCCTCGTCTTGAGGCCCCTCCTGCCAGTGGGGTTGGGTGCTGAGGACGGAGGGACGGACTGAGGCCGGGACCCAGCTGCACCGTGGAGGCCTGGAGAGTCCCTCGGGAGAGACTTTCCCCGTGCTCCCCAGGCCCCTGGGGACGCGATGGGCCAGGCCCAGCTCTCACACGGTCACTGGCTGGTTGGCTTCTGAGATGCAGCGTCCACCCAGGGGGGGACAAAGACGAATAAGGCCAAACAGAGCAGGGCCGGGTGCCCACACTGGCCCTCGGGCAGCTGCTCCACTCCAGTCGGCCTCTCTGCCTCCTGTGGGACTTGGATCTCCTGTCCCCGCCTGTCCAGCCAGGCGGATCCCACTGTGCGAAGGCCCCTCTGGGTCTAGTGCTCACTCCTCCTCTCCCTGAGGAGCCGATGTCCCGTCTGGCCGGCTGCCCTGCCATGGCTTCGTCTGTGGGCCTGTTCAGTCATTTATTCATTCAACAAACATGAGTGCCGTGGGCCGGCCCCAAGCTGGGTGCCGGGGATGGAGATGGGAGGCTATGGCTGTGCTCGGGGGCTCTCAGGACATGTGTCCAGTCGAGGCTGCGAGGGTGGGTGAGGTGAGCCCAGCCCGCGGGGGACTGCCCGGGGGGGTGGGTTCCCATGCAAAGGGCCGTGAGGGACAGTCAGGGGCCTCGCGAGCTGGCTGATCCCGTGTGTTGCACTGCGACTCAACCTTCTCTCCTTTCCTTCCGTCTGTCTCCTCTCTCCAAAGTTCCACGGGAGAAAACCAAAAGGATGAAAAGTAGGTCTTGCAAAAGAGAGAAGACCCCCAAGCTGCCTGCCCCTAGGAGAGCTGCCAAAGACACAGGTAGGGTTGGCCCATTCGGGGCCAGGCAGGGCGTGGGGACGGGAGGTTACCATCCAGGCTCAGGAGGTGGGCACACGGCTTGTTTCTGGAGCCAGGACGGCTGGTGCAGCGCTGGCTCCGCCTCGGAAAGGCGGGCGTGCAGTGGGGGGCATGTGAGCTGGTGGCGGACAGATGTGCGTGCTTTCTCGTGACTCGGTGTCACTGGCTGAGCTCTGGCCGTTTTGCTGCCGTCGGTGGCGGGAAGCATGGCTGTGGCCTGTCGCCTGGTTTGAGACTTAGACTCCAGGCAGTGAGGCCGGCGTGCCTGTTTCCCCTGGGGTGCCCCGCGGTGGGAAAGGCTGGGTGACGTCCGCTTCCCTTGGAGACGTGTTGGCCGTCTATGACCCAGGAGAGGTCTGTGCAGGGGTCTTGGTGGTGCTGGGCCACACTCACAGAGGAACTCCTAATTCAGCTGTCTTTCCCTGAGGGCTGGGTGGGGCGTTGGCGTCCAGCAAAGACCCAGCTGCCCAGCCTGGTAGGTTCGTGGAGCTCGTGGGGTGAATGCGCCGGATGTGGGTGTGTGGGGAACAGAGGGGGCGGCCTTCCTCCGGGCCTGCCTTCAGCATGTTCGGGGCCAGGGAGGAGTGGCCTCGCTCAGTGCCAGACTCTGTCCGAGTGCGCCGTGTGCTCGAGCGACAGTAGCTCACGTGACGCTCACGGCTCTCCTCGAGGGCAGGTGGGCTCGCTCCCACTGTGTAGATGAGGAAACTGAGCCTCAGACAGGGTCAACAGCCCTGCCCAGGACCACACAGGCGAGCCGGGGTTGGGCCCTGACAGCCCCAGGCCTGTGTTCCCTACCCGAGAGAGCCCAGCTGTGCGTACCTGGGCCCACGCCAGGGCACCTTCTCCAGGCCCACCCTCGGGGCCTGGGCTCTGGGACCACTGTACCATGGGCTTCGGAGACGCCAGCCCTGGGAGGCTGAGGTCGGCTCTGTGGGGCCCCTGGTCTCGGAGTCAGCAGCACCGGGGGTCGAGCTGTTTCTGTGCATCTCTATGCCTCAGCTTCCCCAGGGTATGAGGTCACAGTCCTGGATGGGAGTGGGCCATGTGTGGTGTGCCCACGCCACCAGCCACCGCCTCCTCTGCCCTTGGGCAGGCCGACGGTTCCAGCAGGAGGAGCACCTGTCCTCCTTCTCTGGCTGGAGGTGGGCCCTGAGTGAGGTGGGGATGTGTCGGGAAAACCTCCACCGGAACCAGAGTGAGGGATGCTGGGAGACATGGAGAAGGTTCCGGAAGGCCACTGAAAAAGCACAAAATATAACAGTTTTCTGCATCGCGTTCCCCCCACCCCACCCTCCACCATTCCTCGGCATTTTGGTTTGTTTTAACGGCTGCCTTGAAAGATAACCTGCCTTCTGCCTGACACTGGGTCAAAAGGACGTGGGCCGCATTTGTCACCGTAACCGCCGTGTCACTCTGATGGACGTGGCCATTAGCTTCTGTCAGTTACGAAGTCACAGCTGGGCTAAGGAGAGATGAGTTTGGGTTCAGAGGTCAGAGCCACAGGACTTGGGAATTGGATGAATTAGAAATTTGCTGTAGTTAACAAAAAATTAAATCACAATAGTTATAAAATATTCATCCATCCGGGCTGCAGGAAAACGAAGCCCGATATTTAATTTCAGATCGTAGCACCTCACTTTGCATTTTTTATCGTAGATTAGGTCGGCCCTGGAACTTTGACAGGGCACTTGGGCACTTCATCCATTTCCACAGATTAGAAATCCTTTCGTAAAAAAATTAATTGCCGTTAAACTGCTCCGTGGAAGAAAAAAATGTGCCCATCAGGACCCATTTATTGACCTGGACCCCTCTGGCGGGCTAATGGGGAAGCCAGTGATGGAGGGGCCTGGGGACAGGGGTGCCGAGAGGGGCCTGGCGAGCAGGTGGCCCCCTCCCTACCTGGTGTGGTCCCTGCCTAGGGCCCCGACCAAGGGAGTGAGGCCATTTTTTTTTTTTTAACATGTTTATTGGGGTATAATTGCTTTACAATGGTGTGTTAGTTTCTGCTTTATAACAAAGTGAATCAGTTATACACATACACATGTTCCCACATCTCTTCCCTCCTGCATCTCCCTCCCTCCCACCCTCCCTATCCCACCCCTCCAGGCGGTCACAAAGCACCGAGGAGTGAGGCCATTTTTATGCAGGACGCAGGACCCTCTCTGGGGAGCCCAGCCCCCCAGGTCCCACTCATAGGTCGCATGTGGCAGGTGGGCAGTGCAGACTCAGTCCTGATCAGCAGATCCTGACCTTTCTGGGCAACTCCTGTAGTGAGCGTGACTGCTTTGCTTTTGCATCGTGGTGGCCTTGTGGGGAGACGCTTACAGATGGCGAAACTGAGGCACGGGGGAGTTGTCACTTGCCTGAGGCCAGTGGCTACGCAGGAGGAGCTGGGATTTAAACCCAGGTCTGGGACTCCTGAGACCTCACTCTTACCTTCCGGTGTCACCAGGGGCCTGGGGCGGAGGGCGTGGTCTCAGGGAGGGGCAAACGAGGGTGCCTTACAGCAGAGACCACCCACCTATCACACCCTGCCCCCTAGACACAGCACGTTCCCCAGCCCAGACCAGGAGGGACTTCACCCATAGGCCTGAAGACAGAGCTCCTGCAAGGGGAAGGGTGGTACAGAGCCACGCCCCGAGGCCACGCTCCCAGAGGCCACGCCTCAGGAGGTACCCCCCAGGCCATGACCACGCCCCCATAAGCCACGCCCCTGGAACAGCTCTGCGGGACACACCCTTCCCTGGGCTAGCTCCCCCCACCCGGAGATGCAGGCTGTGTAAGCGTGTGAGCTTACACATGTGTGTTTGTGAGCTCAAGGCCGGCGCTGCCTCTGCCGGGGCCCTTGTGGATGGGTTTGTTACGATGGTGGGGCTGCTATCGGCATTTGGTGAGCGTAACGTGGGATTATGAAGTGAAACGTGATGAATGATGTTTCTTATGTGACAGCATTTATTAAAGAAAGCTGGTTTGTGTGTGGGATGGGGTGACTGTTTCCACGCTCTCCGGGACCCCTTGTCCTGCTAACCTGACTGTCTTCCTTGAGTCCCCTCCCCTATCCCCGCTGAGTCTCACCAGTTTAAAAACAAATTAATTTCCTCTGGCTCAGAGCAAATGATCGGCCATAACATTGCCTTCCCCCTCGCCCTGTGCGAGCCCGCCTTGTGCTGGTGACTAGCGTTACTACTGGCCAGCCTTTACTGAGCGTGTGTGGTGTTCCTGGGCCTGTGTTGAATGTTTTACAGACAAATCTGAAGGGAGCACGTTTTATTACCCCCAAGGGTCAGAGAAATGAGGTCACGTTTCAAGGTCATCCTGGGACTCAGCCCTGCCAGGATGCTGGCTAATGGCTGGGGGTGTGGCCCAATCCCCAGAGGGGCCTGGACACGAGGGTTTTCGCCCCATCCCCTCCGGGAGCGTGTGAATTGGTCTCCTGGGTCTGCGTGGAGTTGCCAGCCTCCCTGTCTGGGCCAGCATCGGAGGGCACCCTCTCTTTAAGATTCTGAGTTGGTTGGTGTTTACGCTTGGAGAAAAGGACGAGCTCTGGTGAGGCTGCTGCCTGGGCCCCTCCTTCCTCCCTAGGCCTCCGCCTCTGCTCCGCTCGGGGTGGCATCTGGAGTGTGGGCCTGAGGGAGAGACGCCCAGGAAGCAGTGGCATTGGGGTGCGGGCCCGGCACCTCTCTCCCAGCGACCCGTCAGACGCCCTCCAAACCCCCCACCAGACGGGGACTTTGGGGAGTCGCTCCGTTCAAAAGCCCAGGAAGAGGATTTCTGTCCCCGAGAGGCACCCTTTCGGCTCCCAGAAGGCAGGGCGCGGCCACCAGGCTTTCCTGACTCAGGGACTGCAGGACGGGAACCACAGCAGCTCCCGGGAGACGTGTCACCTCCTCCCGCGCCCCCCCCCTTAGTTTTCACCACATTCAGAGGGGGTGGCTCTGCGCCAGGTGCCCAGGCTCAGCCTCGAGTCACCCGACGTGGCACCTGCCCCCAGAGGGCTCTGTGAGTGGATGATGGGTGCAGAACCAACGGGGCCTCAGGGAGAGGGGAGGGGCCGGCTCTGCTCCTCTTGAAGCCCTGCAGCTCTGGCCACCCCTGCGACTACCTGTCTTTGCAGGACATGGCAAGAAGTTGGGAGCTGGTGAGAGTTCCCCTGTCTGCCCCCGGCTGCCTAGATCCACCTGTGCCCGCAGCGCCCCGCAGGTGTCAACCAATGCTCCCCACCTGGCTTCCTGCCATCAGCCCGTGAACATCCAGGCTGCTATGGCCGTCCTTCGAGACCTCCACCAGCAAATCCAGGCCAGCCTGGAGCTGGCCCAGGGCCACCACCCAAGGCGAGGGCTGGAGCCGCGGGACCTGGCGGGGAGGAGGTGGCAGAGCCCCTGGAAGCCCCCAGACTTGCGGGGCTCCTGGAAGAGCCCTCGGGCCGTGACGGAGGGGGTGCCTGCGTCCAAGAGGGCTGGGAGCCTGCCCATGGCGCCGAGCTGGAGCGCCTCGGCCAGGTGGGAGTCCTATCCGCAGAGGACCTGGGCAACCCAAGGACGAGATCCCTCCTTCCGGGGACCCGGGAGCCCCACGGAGAGGCTGAACTCCTTCCCTCAGCGGCCCTGGAGCGCCTCGGCCAGGCGGACCTCCTGTCCACCAAAGGCCTGGGCGGCCCAAGGATGGGACCGCTCCCTCTGGAGGCCCGGGAGCACCCCTGAAAGATGGGGCCCCTTCCTGCAGCAGCCCCGGAGCACCTCGTCCGGGCAGGCTTGGGGTCTGCAGAGGGCCTGGACCTCTCGTGAAGACCGGGAGGGCCCCGCCCGAAGGCCCTGGAGCCCCGCCTTCACGCAGGGGCCCGACCCCCGGTGCCAGGGCAGGGGTCCACTGCTAACCCCCGCGGGGGCGAAGCTCACCTGGCCAAGGCCCAGCCAGGGTGCCCTTTGGAACATGCCTGGGAAGGAGAATGAGGTGCGACCCCCGCCGCCCTGCCCGAAGCCCCGGGGGCCCCTCCACAGCTCCGAGTCCCTGCGGGAGTTCATCCAGCAGAATATGGAGCCCTGGTGGCAGCAGGCCCTAAAGGAAAAGGCCTCCGCCATGCAAGCGCTGGAGCTCAGAAACCAGAGGCTGCAGGGCGTCTACAGGAAGCAGAGGGAGGCCGTCCCCGTGGTCTCCCAGACGACGCCCAGCATCGTGACCTTCGTCCCGCATTCTGCACAGTCCGTGGTATGCACCAGCTCAGCCACCGAGGTCCCCCGGGGTCCCCTGGCTGTGGCAGGGCTCTGCAGGGACCCCACTGCCTCTGTCTCTGTCCCCAAAGAGGGGACCCCTGAGGGACCCAGCCTGAGACCCTTGTGGAGGCCGGGGCCAGCTCTGAGGCTGAGACAGGGCCTGGGGTCTTCTGGTCCAGCCTGGGCTCTGATGACGTCCTTCTCCTCTGCTTTAGGGCCTGGAAGCCGCCGGGGGCCCAGGAGCACCTGTGCCGCAGTGGAGCAGGGTGACTTCCGGCATGGTGCTGGGGGACCAGGACGCCCCGGGCAGGTGGGTGTGCAGGGGCTGGGACTGCATTTCCCGGGGGGCTCTCCCGGGCGGGGGGTCGCTCCCTCCGTCCAGAGCTGCACGGAGCCTGTGATCAGGGCTGCGTTAGTTTTCGCTGAGGTGAGCTTCCCGTCACGTTAGGTTAACGTTTATAAAGAAAACTATTCAGTGGCGTTTGGCACGTTCACAACATCGTGACCACCTCCAGCTGTTCCCCGAAAACATGTCATCACCCTGAAAGGAAACCCGTCCCCATTAGCAGTCACTCCCCGGCCTGCCGTCCATCTGTGTGTATGCATTCACCCGTTCTGATGTCTCGTGTCAGTGGAATCCTATAGCATGGGGCCATTGTGCCAGGCTTCTTTCCCTGAGCGAGTTTTCTAGGTTCGTCCACGTTGCAGCCTGTGCAGGACTTCCTTCCTTGTCATGGCCGAGTAATACTCCACTGCACGATCTCCCACGTGTTGCCTACCAGGGGCAGCTGATGGACTTGTGTGCTGTTCCCCCTTTTGGCTGCTGTGAGTGGAATGTCTGAGCGCCTGTTTTCGGCTCTCTGGTGCACGCACCCAGGAGTGGCATTGCCGGGTTGTGTGGGCTCCATATTTAACTGGTGGAGGAACTGCCAGGCTGTTTCTGGCAGTGGCCGCACCGTTTTGCATTCCCACAGCAGTGCACGGGAAATCCAGTTTCTCCCCGTCTTCACCAACACTTATTTTCTGGGTTTGTTTTCTTTTCCCTTGCATTCGTTTTTGCTCTGTTTTCACTGCCGTGTGTTTTCATTTTTCTGGGGCAACTGTCCAGGAGGCCACTCCCCGAGCAGCATCTTGAAGTGCAGGGTGGGAGACCTTCCCCCACTTTGCTGGGGGAGTTGAGTGTCCAGGCTCCCTAGAGGCTGGCCTTCCCAGCTCTTGCCCTCGCGGCGAAGGGTTCCGGGGAGTGCCCCGTGGGCTCCAGGCCAGTGCCAGCCACTTCCTGGCCACCTGCCCAATAAAGGAGGGGGAACTCACAGCCAGGCTCCTAGGGTATCATCCGCCCATGGCTAGGGGGAGGAGCTGGCCCAGAGGCTAAGGACAGGGGTCCCCACAAGATGCCGCCCACCGGGAGCTTCCTGCCCTGGGCTCGCTCTGAGCCTGGCTCCTGCATGGGTCTTTGGCAGCCAGAGTTCTGGGAGGGGGCTTTGGGCTGAACCCTTTGGAGCTCAGCGCCCACCCCTCTTTGCAGCCCCTCGACCCCCCACCCGTCCACCTCGGTGGGATGGACGCCCTCCCCTGGCCCCTGGCTCCTGGAAATTGCCCTCTCTGGGTCCTTTTTGCTTCATTTGTCTTTAAAGTGCGCACTCCTCCCCAGGATTCCAGGTCCACAGGGCTGCCCAGGGGCGTGCATTGTTTTTTAACTTTTTAAAGTTGACATCTGATCATATCCAGACACGGGCGCAGGTCCTAGGTGTGCAGTTCAGTGAATGCTCGCACGCTGAGCACGTGTGTAACCTGCACGGGGGCTGAGAAACCGCTCGCACCCGAGGGCAGCCCCCCGCCGTGGGAAATGCTGGCAGGGGCTCCTGCCTGTCGGGCTCCTTCTGCTGGGCACGATGCTGGAGGGGGGGCTATCTCTGTGGTGGAGGAGGCTGCAGGTCCTTCATCGTGCTTCACTCTGTCCTTTTTTTTTTTTCCACTTAAAAAAATTGTGGTAAAATACACATGACAAAATTGTAAAATTTTGTTAAGATCGTAAAATTTTAAGCAGTTTTAAGGGCACAGTTCAGGGGCATTATGTACATTCACACTGCTGTGCAAACATCACTACTATCATCTCCAGGACTTTCTCATCTTCAGTTTCACAAACTGAAACTCTGTCCCTGTGAAACACTCGCTCCCCATCCCCCACCGCCCAGCCCGGGGCCCCACCGTCCTACTTTCTGTCTCTATGAATCTGATTCCTTCTGGGACTCTTTTGTGACTGGCCTGTTTCGCTCAGCATGACATTCTCAAGGTTCATCCATGTTGTAGCCTATTTCAGAATTTCTTTCCTTCTTAAGGCTGAATGCTATTCCATTGTATGGATGGATCCCGCCTTGTTTATTCATTCGTCTGTTCATGGACACTTGGGTTGCTTCTGCCTTTTGGTTGTGAATGGTGTTGCTGTGAACATAGGTATGCAAACATCTCTTCAAGCCCCTGCTTCCAACTCTGTGCGATATGTACCCAGCATTAGAATTGCTGGGTCATATGAGAATTCTGTGTTTACTTTTTGAGGAACCTCCATCCGGTTTTCCATTTTATATTCCACCAGCTGCGCACGAGGGCTCCCACTTCTCCACGTACCTGTCAACACTCGTTCTTTCCTTTTTCTTTAATGGTGCCCATCCTGAAGGGTGGAAGGTGGGATCTCATCGTGGCTCTTTAAAAATTTATTTATTTGGCTGTGCTGGGTCTTAGTTGTGGCACGCGGGATCTTTAGTTGCGGCATGCGGGATCTAGTTCCCCAACCAGGGATCAGACTCGGGCCCCCTGCATTGGGAGCACGGAGTCTTACCCACTGGACCACCAGGGAAGTCCCTCACTGTGGCTTTCGTTTGCATTTCCCTAATTATTAGTGATGTTTAGCATCTTTTCACATGCTTCTTGGCCATTTGTATGTCTTCTTTGGAGAAACGTCTATTCAAGTCTTTGCCTGTTTTTTCATTAGGTTATTTGGGTTAGGTTATTTGTCGTTGAATTGTAGGAGATATACTCAGGGGAGTAATCTCTGATCAGATCTGGGTTTGTAAATGTTTTCTCTCGTTCTGTAGGTTGTCTTTTCATTCTGTCGATTGGGTCTTTTGATGCATGTAAGTTCTTAATTTTGCAGTAGCCGGTTTATCTGTTTTTTCTTTTTCTGGTTACCAGTGCTCTTGGTGCGTATCCAAGAAATCGTTGCCAGCCGTCCTCCTCCTTTCTAACAGCCACGTGTGGTCTGCCCTATGGATGCCCCATAATCGCCCCCTGCTCATAAGTTGACGCAGTGAATAGACTCTGGGCCTGGCACAGAAGCTGCAGCTATGCGCATCCCTGCACATGCGTGTTTCCCACGTGCCTGGAGAGGGTGCCCTAGGGCTGACGGTCTTCCCCTCTCTCCCTGCAGCTTCTGCCTGTGTTTGAACAGAGCCTTGAACCCGGCCGAAACTCTGGAGGTGGGAGGCCCCCGAGATGGCTGGGAGGGCGCCCCCCTGCTGACGTCGGCCAGTTCTTCCCTGGGCCCCCTGCAACTCCAGGACCTGACCAGCCACTGCTCAAGCCCGGGGCTGTGCATCTGCCTGGACCCCGAGGAGTCCGAACGCCTGGGCGCGCCAGGCCCCCTGCACTTCCGGTACAAGCAGGCTCGGCTGCAGGCCCTGGAGACCATGGCCAACGTCCTGAAGCAGCGAATCGACGTCCTGACCGACAGGCTGAGCAGGTCCGAGGCGACGGACGCAGCGGGGGGGCCCGTCCCAGGCCCGCCGCCCTCGAGCTCCAGCACGCCAGCCTGCCCCAGAGCCCTGGTGCCCAGCGTGGGCGGAGGGGCACCCTGGGACTGGGCGGGCATGCGGGCCAGGCCGCTTCTCTCTACCACCTGCTTCCCGGACACTGAGACGCTGCCCTGGAGCCCTGGCTGGGAACGGCTGCAGAGCGTCAGCCCGAGGGGCCACCAGGCCAGCAAGCCCCAAGGTAGGGCCGGCCCCGGGGCCGCAGATGACCACTTGCCCCGTCGGTGGCCAGGGGGACCCCACTTTCTCCCTGCCTCTGGGTTTCTTCTCCTGAAAGGGGCGGGGGTACATTGACAAGACCACAGCAATTGTCCCTCTGCAGCTGTTGTCACCATCTTGCCTCTGGCTGGGGGAGGGGTGGGGCCTGGTTCTGAGCCTGACGTGCCCACCACCTCTCTGCCTCCTGCAGAGGGGCAAGAAAGCAGGACCAGGGTCCCTCCTGCCAGGGGGGTGGGGGCCCCGTCTTCACTCCCCACCGACCAGCTTACCGGCACCCGTCTCTCCAAAGGTTTCATGGAGGATGGGCGCTCGGAGCGGGACAAGAGGCAGGCGAGAACCCTGGCTTCCTTGCAGACCCTCAGCCCCTTCGCAGGGAGGTAAGCCTGGGCGCCACTCCTGAGCAGCCTTGTGCCCCCAGGGTGGGTGCCGCCAGGGTGGGTGCCCCCAGGGTGGGTGCCCCCAGGGTGGGTGCCGCCGGCCCGTGGCAGAGCCCGTACAGGTCCAGTGACATGGCTTCTGACCCGCCCGGGGAGAGGTGCTGGCCTCGGACGCCTCTGGCGGGGCTGTGCACAGTGGGCCATGCGGAAACACTCGGCCAGGCGTCCTGTGTGGCTGGCAGGCTGGTTGTGTCTGGGGGACACGGAGACAGGCAGCCCTCCATCCGGTCGGTGGCCCATGTCGAGTTCTCAGGACCACCCGTCCACAGCCCCTTGCACCTTCTCGTGGCTTCCGTCTCCAGCACTGGCCTCCCCTGGGGTCACTTCACACAGGTCCCTTTGCACGGGCCCAATTACAGACAGATGACCGGCCCGGGGCAGGGGCACTTGTGGCCAGCCCCACCTGGGCCTGCAATGTGGCCTCAGTAGCTACCACCCAGGGCCAGCCGCTCTCCTGGGGACCTTCTGCTGTTCCAGGCCTCAGCCCAGGCTCCCAGAGTCTCGGCCGGCCTCCCCCTGAGGTCCAGCTACTGTCACTCCCTGTTCTCTCTGTCCTCCGGCTCATTTCCCCCCAGCAGCCAGTGACCCTGCTCTGTACCCCCAGCCCCTCCAGGAGGGGGCGTCCTCCAGCCCGGGGCAGGTTTTGTCCACAAAGGCTCCAAAGGTTGGGCTGCGCAGGGGAGCTGCCTTCTTGTCACCTGGCCTTCCCTGAGCAGCTGTGGCCCCCAGTCTTCCCAGGATTCGGGGACAGGCTTGTCTCCTTCTGCAAGGACACACCCCTCTCCCGCCCCCAAGAACTGTTCCTTCTGCCACATCGCCTGCCTGTCTGCCCGCCCAGGGGTTCCTGCAGGCGCGGGTCCCCAGCCCCGCCCACCTCCTTCCTTGGCACCTGCACCAGGAGGTTGTCAGACACCCCTGGCCCCCTCCCCTCTCCGTCCTGGGGCTGAAGCGCCGGGGGGCAGCCGTCCCTGCCTGGCCCCCACGCAGGCCCTCCCTGCTTGCCTGCTCACCTTGTGCGTCCTCCGGGACTCCAGGCTCGACAGCTCAGAACCGGGGCGGGGGAGGGGGGTCCAGAGGGGGACAGGCCAGTGGATGGTCTCCGGGGGGCTGGCCTTGGCTCGTTGCCAGTATCGGCCAGAGCCCGATGCCGGGGGCTTCTCACCGCCCCCTTCACCCGGTCTGTCCCGGGCTTGCTGCCCTCGTATGTGCGGCTGCCCTAGGGCCTCCGGGGGTCAGTGCAGATCCCAGGTCTGTGGTTAAAGCTGGTGGCCTCGAGCATATTCACGGCCCCCCAGCCTCAGCGCCCCCCCTTGGAGATGGGGGTGGCCCTGAATCCACCCTGATTCCCCCAGCCCTGCCTCACCCTCCCTCCTGTCCCCCAGCCCCTCCCCTGCCCAGCCTCAGCGCAGTTACTGAAACTGAATTGTTGACACCAGTAGGGGTCAGCATCGGGCTGGACTTCACGTCCTCTGCACCTGCCCCCCCATCCTGCTCCCCGTCTAGAGCTTGAGAAGGGGAGACGGGTGGGAGAATTCTCCAGAGGTTACTTCCGGTGCCCTAGGCTCTAAGGTGGACAGCCTGCAGCTGTGTGTCCCGCTGCTGGACAGCCAGCAAGGTCCCTGGGGCTCAGGCCCAGAAGGTGTTCGGGACCTTCCCACCAGGGGCACTGTGTCTCCCTCCCCACCTCAGCCTGACCAGGCCGGGAGAGACAGGAGGGGGTGGAAGTCGTTCAGAGCCGTGCCCTGGGCGTCCCAGCACCCTTGGAGCCAGGGATCAGGGCCCAGGGGCTGGCTGGGCCTCTCAGGCCTCCGGAAGGCACCTGGCCCGGCCCAGTCTTCTAAACTAGCAGTCTCCACTCACTGCTTCACGGGGCTGCTTTGCTGCCGTGCCTCTGGTCACCTCCCTCGCTGCCCGAGTGAGTCCAAGGATGCAGGTCACAGCTCTCTTCTCCAGGGCCTGGCCCGTCCTGCCACCTCTCAGGCCAGTTCCTGAGTCGGGGTGGGTCTCCTCCACCGAGTCCTTTCCCTGCTGGGGCCACAGTGCTCAGTGGCCGGGTGGGGGCCAAGCTTGTTAACCAGCATCATGCGGTGAGGACACCAGGGTTTCCCACCCCCCATGGGGCTTGGGCCCCTGAGGCCCAGTCCACCCCAGCGTCTCTGGAAGGAAGGACAGAGGAGTGTGTGCCCCAGCTGTGTGCCTGCCGTCACCCCGCAGGCCTCCCTGCACCTCATGCAGTGCTTGCAGCAACCCTGAGGGATGTGTGCTCATCCCCATTTTACAGATGGGGAAGCTGAGGCTGGCAGAGGAGAATTGACCTTGCCCAGGATCACGTAGCCTGGGGGAGGACAAGCCAAGTTTCAGACCCAGGGCATGGACTCCAGAGCCCCCAGTTTTTCTGCTACACCCGTTCCCTGGCCAGTGGTTCTCAAACTGTTCCCTGGGGACTCGTTAGAAATGCAGAGTGCCCGGCCCATCCCAGCCCGCCTGAATCTGCTATGCTGGGGGTGGGCCCAGTGATCAGGCGATTCTGATGCTCACTGAAGTTTGAGAATCACTGCCCTAGAGAATCTAGACCAGTGGTCAGCAAGCCACAGCCCTCTAGACCCACCGCCGGTCTTTGTAAATAAAGTTTTATTGGCACACAGCCATGCTCATCATTTACATAATGAGTGTGGCTGCTTTCCTGCTACAAAGGCAGAGCTGAGTGGTTTCCACGGAGACAAAGACCGTGTGGCCTGCGTCTGTTCCTCTGTGGGAAATGTTTGCCGTCCCTGCTCTAGACAATTGAGGGAGAATGGCTTGTGGACCGATGGCATTCCCTTTAAGTAGCCTTGGAGGACGCAGCTCCTTCCTGCCCTTTGTTGATCCCAGGTGGGGGTTGTAGCATCCTAAGTTCTGGGTTGGGAAGGAGGGAGCTAAGAGTCCCCCTGTCTCCATGACTACGCATTCCTGGAGCAGCCCCTGCTGCCCCTGCCTCTAGGAACCCACCCCTGACCATCGGAGCCCGTGGTCAGCGCTCCTGCCCCAGCATCCCTGGGGTCATTCTAGGATCAGCCCCTGGACCCATCCCTCACCTCCTCAGCATCTCTCGTCTGGGCCGCAGGGCTGCTCCCTCTTCCTGGAACAGTCTTTTCACGCCATCTCGCCGGCAGGCCTGCGAGCTGTAGGGTAGGGGCGGGGTGGTGGGTCACCTGGGAAGAACAGCAGGTGCTCAGCGAACACCTGTGGGGCTGGAGGAGGGCCCACCTCCATGGTCTGCAGGTGTGGCCGGTGTCTTCGGTCACCCAAGGGCATCCGGGGTCACTCGGTGCAGGAGGGACAGCCACGTGCGCTGATGAGACGTGAAGTGAGGCGGGCTGTCGGCACAGCTCGTCCGAGCCCGTCACACACACCTGGGCTGCACAGTCATCTGTGCCCCAAGCCCCTGATCCGGGCAGCTGCAGCCCACCTGTGCCCGGCGGCTCTCCCACCCCACCTGGACTGCTGCCCTCTCGTGGGACCCAAGGCCACGCCTTCCTCCTTCTCCTGTGGCGGATGTGCTGGGCAGCCCCGGGTGAGGCTGAGCTCGCCCTGATGGAGGGCAGGTCTCTGAGTCTAACTGGACCAGTTTGACCCCGGCCTCCTTGGTCATCCGGCCAGCTCAGGCCCCTCTGTGGACAGGGCAGCAGTGCCGGCACGAGAAGATGGTCCTGAGGCTTAGAGCTAAGATGTGGGCCCTGCTCCACTCTGGGCCTGGTGGACAGTCCTCCTTAGCAGATGGCCGAGGGGACAGAGGCAGAGGACATGCCCCATGCCCGTCACTGCCAGAGCAGACCCAGGGCAGGTGAGGGCTTCCGGGCGAAGGGCGCTCTGGTGCTGGCCCCAGCGCCGATGGCGACTGTGGACGCCGAGCGCTCCTGCTGGGCGCTGGTCCCCCTGGGTCCGAGTGCAGAGCCCTGAGTCGCCGCTCACAGACCAGGCCCCGCCTGCTCGCCACTGCCCTCCTGGCCCTCTGGTCCTTTGGCCCTTGGGTCTCCCTGGCCACTGGGTCTGCAGGAGAGCCCAGATTACCACCCCTCCCCGCGCAGCCGTCAGCTGTCTCCTGCCTCGAGGATGTTCGCTGCTCACACAGGTGTTTGTGTGTCCCCAGCTCACTCGGGGTGCCAGACCCCCGCTGCGGCTCCCTGCGGCTGGAAGAGATGCGGTCGGCCAGAGGGGCGGGCTTGGTCACGCCCTTGACCCTCCGGAGCTGCGGTAAGGGCGAGCCCGTGGACAGGCCCTGGGCCGGCTGGTCGGGTGGCCAGGGAGATCCGCTGGGGACCCGCTCCACGGCCTGATGCTCGGCCAGGTTCTGCGGGTGTAGAAAGATGCTTTTCTACGTGGAGAGCGTCCACGCGTCAGTATTAAAGTTTTCTGGAGGCTCTCAGGGCCCAGCCTCTTGCTGTGTTCTCTCGCCATCCATGCTTCTGTTGTGAGTTTGCTCCCCCGAGAGTCAACGGCTTGTCTCATCAACGGCTCTGCTCCCGGGGCCCAGCCTTCTGCCTTCTCCTTTGAGCCGAAGGGTTTTTCCCCCGTTATAGCAGAGGAGGCTTGCCCAGGGCCCCAGGGCTGGTGCATAGCCAGGGCCGGGGCAGGGGCTGCTCCCGCCTGGAGCCCTCCTGGGTTCAGGCCTTCTTCGTGGCAGCAGGCCGGGCCTAAGCCCCAGCGTGTGCGGAGCGGGGCGTGGGCTGGACTGTGGGACGCTGTGTCCAGTGGGGGCTCAGGGAGGGGCAGCTGGAGGTCCCTGGCACGGTGCTGGGGACCGAGCACCTGCTCTGAAAGGCCTGGGATGTGACTTGCCGTTTAAGCCTCATTTTCCAGTTGGTTTTTTTCAAAAGTTTTAAGAGCGGGAATAAAAACATGCTCACGTCTGTCTGTAGGAGAATCGGGCACTGCAGGTGCCTTCGGAACAAACCCCCAACCCCTGCTCCGCTCAGGAGTGGCCCCAGATAAAACCTGCACCTCCTTACAGGGCCGGCTGGAGTCGCCCATCTCACAGGGCGGGCAGTGAGGCGTGTGGGGTCAGTGGCCTGCGAAAGGCCCGGGGGCAGTTAGAAGCCCCGGGTTTCCCTCTGGTGTCTGGGTGAGGGGAAGGGAGGGAGGAATTTCAGCCCTGGGCTCTGGCGTCCCGCAGACCTGGGGTTGCAGCACGGGATGTGGCAGACCCCTCGTGGACGAGCAGCTTCCCCAGGGGCTGCCCGGCAGCGGCCTCCCTGACAGACGCCTGCCCCTCCCTGGAAGACAGAGGGCCCTCAGGCCAGGCAGGGGGGGGCTGGGGCCAAAGTCCTCAAGGGGCTGCCAGAACCCTCCTGCAGACCAGGCTTCCTCAAGCCCACCGGGGTGGGGCAGATGTGTGCTGTTGGACACGTGCACGTGCGTGTGTGTACGCGTGTGTGTGTGTGTGTGTGTAGAAGGGGCCCCGGGCCCTCTGAGGCAGGGGGCTCTGTGCCACCACATCCCCCTGCCCCTTGCTCTGGGAGACTTTCCCAGCATGGGGAGGGGCTGCTGGGGAGCCCCCTGGTTTCTTGGTTCATCTTCCCTGTGCTCAGAACAAGCTCGCTGAACACCTGCTGAGCCTGGCACTGACTGGGCACCAGGCCATGCCCTCAAGGTGCCTGCCTTTTGGGGAGGGTGGGGCAGGTGGTCAGAAGACACACGTTACAACACGTAGCACGTCAGATCCTGGCCAATAAGTGCCCAAGGGGAGAATCTACCCCGAAGAGGGTAGACATTTCCAGCCCCTCCTCGTCCAGGAAGTGGGGCCCAGTGAGGGGCAGTGAGCTGCCTGGGGCGCCCAGGGACGGGCTGGGACCAGGGCGTGGGCTCAGATGCCAGTTCTCTATCCACCCCTCTCCGTCCTCCTGGCTGAGCTGGAACCGGGAGCCTGGGCACCGCCGTCTGTTCCAGAAAGCTGGGAGAGCTCGGGCAACCCTGGCCCCTCTGCACCATCAGCTGCGTCCTGTCTGTAAAATGGCGTAACGCAGGGACTCAGGGAGCTAAGACAGAAAGCAGGAGGGCCGAGCACTGCAGCGCCCTTAGCTTTCACTCCTGCTGGTCCCCAGCGCCAGCTCACTGCGTCCTCCCGGGACGCACAGCCCACGTGCACCCTGTAAACTTGTGTCCACCCATGCAGGGTGGGCAGACAATGCCCAGGGCGGCGGCAGGGAGGTGGTACAGCGCCTCGGGGGACGGGCAGCCCCGCCTGGATCCCATGGTGAGGGCAGAGAAGGGCATCCTCTCAACATCCCTAAGGGGAAAACCATCAGTTGCTGGTTGAAAGGACAAAATCCCTGGATGGTGGACCACACATCAGGGGTGGGGAAGGTGTGAGCTTTCCCACGATTCACGCCCTCGAGTGGTAGCCTGGGTACCAAGGCAACGGCAAACAACAACTGAGGTCAGCAGCCCCTTTGTGCGGAGCTGCCCTTTCCCCAGGGGTGCCTCTTGGCCGGGCAAGGGGCTGGGCCATAGCCCTCCTGAGGAAGGAGCAGCCTGGTGGGAGGGTGCCTGGCTGGCCAGCAGGGAGCCCACCCACCCCTGCTGTGCCCTCCAGGGAAAAGAGACGGGGCAGAGCGCTGCTTCCCCCCAACTCCGCCGCCTCCCACGAGGACGTCCTCCAGGTGGGCGGAGCTGTCGGCCAGGCCCCATCCCCCCATGACCCCCAGAAGGCCCAGGGCCCGATCTTCCAGAAAAAACAGCTGCTCTCCCAGTTCTGCCTTCAGGGAGGCGGGGAGGTGGCTGGACTAACGGCTCTCAGCTCTCAGGCCCTCCTGCGTGAAGGGGCGGAGCCCCAGCTGCCCTCACGCTGTCCTCTGGACAGGGCTGGGCAGAGCCCCTCTCAGTGCATTTGTGGACTGAAATTCTCTGACAGGGTCTCTTTATCCTGAGGCTACAGGCAGCCCCAAAGAATCTTCTGAAATCTGAGCTGCTCCTGCCTGGAGTGGCTGAGAGCAGGATCTCAGGAGCCCGACGCCAAGCAGTGAGCACAGACCAGGGTGCCTGCACGGCGCTCCCGCCAGACGCCTCCTCCAGGAAGCCTCCCAGATAGCACTTGGGCTGGGTCAGGTGCTGCCGCTCGGCGTGCCTGGTGGGAGTGAGACTCGTGTTTGTGCCTCTGTCTCTGTGGCCCACAGGAACTTGAGAGTCTGGCTTTCTTGGCAGCTCTGGCTCTTGGAACAGTGCCTGCCAGGCCGGGAATACTTGGGGAATATTTGCTGAAAGCATGAATGATCTCCTGAGGGCCCCGAGGGCCCCTGGGCCCGGCACTGTGTGTCACACACGACGTCTCGCCCTACCTCGGGGCAGGTCCCATCCTCGTGCCCGCGTTCACGGAGGAGGACCCGAGTGCTCGGAGGAGCACCCATCACCTCCCTCCAGTAAACGGCAGAGCAGGGATTCGAGCCCAGATGAGTCGGCCAGCCTCCAGCTTTCACCACTGGCGGCAGTGTGTCCCATGGAACTTTCTCCGATGAGAGAAATGGTCTCAATGCTGGGCTCTCCGATACGGTGCCCACCAGCTACATGTGGCTGTGAAGCCACTGGGACGTGGCCAGTGCCACTGAAGAGTGGAATTTTACATTTTTGTTTCCTTTGAGTTTAAATGGAAGCGGCACAGGCAGCTGCCGGCTGTGGTCGGACAGGGAGGCTCTGGCGCTCAGACGCGGTGGCCTGACGCCCAAGCGGGGCCCCGTCGGCTTCGTCCTGGTTTGAGGCCGTGGGTCCCCGACCACAGCCCTGTCACCGAGAACACACCTGTCCTCATCCTCATTGCCACGTGTTGAGTGTGTGTTAACCCTCACGGCCACCAGACGCTCTTGGGGGGCAGGTCGTGCTGGGTTCTTGGGGCTCCTCCCCGATTGCCGTCAAGAGCTGGGGAGCAAGGCCGCTGCCATCCTCTGCTCTGCAGGGTGACTGCCAGCTGCTCGGCCAGCCAGGGCCACGCCTGCCTCAGGGACGGCTTGCTTTCTCCTGGGTCACAGCTCAGAGCTCAGGGACACGCAGCCCATGTCTCCCTGGTGACCTGTCGGGGGTGCCAGCCTGGCCACAGAGGAACACAAACTCCCCTCTGTGGGCTGAAGCGCTGGGGGCCTCGGGTCTCTGAAGCTCCTGGGCCCCTGGAGCAGGGTCAGCGGGAACTCGGGGCGGGACCGGGCACCTTCTCCGGCTTCACCCTCTCTCGAGGGCCACAGACAAGAGCAAGGGAGGAGTTTCCCCTTCTCGAGGGAACTGCAGCTCGGAACAGACACCTTAAAGGAATTCTGCAAAGTGTCTTCATTTCCCGATGTGGCCAGTCAGCCGGGAGCAGGAAAGAGCACGCCAGGCATCACCCCGGGCTCAGCACGCCAGGCGGCCGGAGCCCTCGCCCCTCCCCTGGGCAGGCGGCCGGAGCCCTCGCCCCTCCCCTGGGCTCGGCGCTTCAGCGTCTCCCGAGCGCGGTGGAAACGCCCAGGAGCAGGTTTAGCCGTCGTTCACAGCTCTTCGGCCGCTCTAGCGTGGAAAGCTGAGCCGCTCTGTTCTGGGAAGGAGGGCACAGTCGGGAGGAAGTTACCCTCTCGGCACGCTGGCCAGTGACGACCCAAGAGCTTGTCCAGGAGCCACCAGGAGGGAGTGGCCGTCCTGCGTGCCCTCCTCTGACGCTGTCACTGGGGTCGGCAGAGAAGGTGGAGGGCGGGGCGAGGAGGGAGCCCGCCGGCAGCCCCACCCTATGACTGTGGAGTCAACCCCACCCCCGCCTTGACCTAGGCAGCCTCCGCAGGGCCAGGATGGGTCCTCGGAGCCACCAAAGGGGAACAGAAGCCCTCAGCTGCCCCTGGGGAGCCTGAGGTTTCTGTGCCCACACTCTGGACAGTCCCAGAGGCCCCAGGGAGGCCTTGGGCTGTGACCCTCCGCCTGTGTCACCGTGTCCCCACTGGGCTGTGATCGTAATTAGGGCAACCGTGACGGCTACCCGTGCGGAGCAGGTGTTAGGTCACCTCACTACAGGGACGTCCCCGTGGAGGCTCTGACGGGCTGGTGCTTTGCTCCGGGTCACCCAGCGGATGTGTGGTGAGCCGAGGCCTGTCTGGCAGCAAAGCCTGGGTTCTTGGCCCTGGTCACGTGTCTGCAGACTGGGGTCCCTGCTCCCAGAGGAGTGTGGCCCAGGGTCAGGCAGGGCGAGCCCCTCCCCACCTGGGCGGGTGGGGCGACGCAGCAGCCTCTGTCTCCCTCCCCCGCAGGCTGCAGGCCTGCCCACCCTCCCTGCAGGTTCAGGAAAGGGACCCTCCCCAGCGTGTTTCCCTGCAGGCCCAGTGCTGAGGCTGAGCGAGGGCTCAGCCGCCCCTTTTCGTGGTTTCTACAGGTCTGCTGTCCGACATCCGGCAGAAGTCCCTGAGCTTTCTGGAGT